GCTATGCGGCACACTCGAAGTTTTTGTGTCAGGGTCTTAAACTATGCTCACTGGGCTTTTTAAGGATGCTAGTTTTGGCCCTCTCTTAAATTTACACATGGATATTTTTCACTTGTGGGTGTCTTTCGATTTGGACAGTGCTCCGGTGAGAGATTGTCGCCCATATCAAATTTCTTTCCTCTCAAAAGTTCTCGCGCGTTTAGAGATGCGCCACACTCACGCTTTTGGTGTGAAGATCCCAAAGTATGCTTACAAGGCTCTTTAAAAATGCTAGATTTGGCCCTCCCCCAAATCTACACACGTGTATTTCACTTGTGGAAGTCTGTCGCTTTGGACAATGCTTAGGATGGAGATTCTCGCCCATCTATATTTTTCTCTCTTGCGTGTTTTCGCGCGTTTAGAAATGCGCCACACTCGTGATTTTGGTGTCGCGATCTCAAACTATGCTTACTGGACTTTTTAAAGATGCTGCATTTGGCCCTTTCTCAAATCTACACACGTGTATTTCACTTGTAAGAGTCTGTCGCTTTGGACAATGCCTAGGTCAAAGATTCTCGCCCATTTATATTTTCTTTTTACTCGCGTGTTTTCTGGCGCTTAGCGATGCGGCACACTCGCGTTTTGGGTGTGGGAATCCCAAACTATGCTAGGTTTGGCCCTTCACCAAATCTACACAAACGTATTTCACTTGTGGAAGTTTATCGACTTGGACAGTGCTTAGGTTGGAGATTCTCGCCCAAATCAACTTTCCTTTCTCTCGTAAGTTCTCGCGCGCTTAGAGATGCGCCACACTCGTGTTTTAGGTGCGGGGATCCCAACCAGTGCTTACTTAACTTTTTAAACATGCAACTTTTAGCCCTCCCCCAAATCTACACACGTGTTTTTCACTTGCGGAAGTCTATCGATTTTGGACAGTGCTTATGTGCGTGAGAGATTCTCGCCCATATCAACACTCTTTTCTCTAGTAAGTTCTCGCGCATTTAGAGATGCGCCCCACTCGCGGTTTTGGTGTCGGGATTTCAGACTATGCTTACTGGACTATTTAAAGATGCTAGATTTAGTCCTTTCTTAAATCTACACACGTGTATTTTGAATGTGGTAGTCTGTCGCTTTGGACACTGCTCGGGTTGGACAAACAATGTCAAACAATGTCTAAAATCGATAGACTTCTACAAATAAATTACACGTGTGTAGATTTGAGAAAGGGCTCAATCTACCATCTTAAAAAAGTCAAGTAAGCATAGTTTGAGATGCCGACACCGAAATTGCGAATGTGGCGCATCTCTAAACACGCCAAAACACGCGAGAGAAAAAACTATAAATGGGCAAGAATCTCCAACCCAAGCATTGTCTAAAGCGACAGACTACCACAAGTGAAATACACGTGTGTGGACTTCAGAGAGGGCTAAATCTAACATCTTTAAAAAGTCCAGTAAGCATAGTTTGAGATCCCGACACCAAAACCGCGAGTGGGGCGTATCTCTAAACGCGTGAGAACTTACTAAAGAAAAAAAAGTTCATACGAGCGAGAATCTCTCACCCAAGCACTGCCCAAATCGATAGACTTCAACAAGTGAAATACACCTGTGTAGATTTGAATTTGGGGGAGGACTTAAAGTAGCATCTTTAAAAAATTAGGTAAGCATTGGTTGGGATTCCCGCGCCTAAAACGTGAGTGTGGCGGATCTCTAAACGCGCGAGAACTTGCAAGAGAAAGGAAAGTTGATAAGGGCGAGAATCTCTCATCCAAACACTGTCCAAATCGATTGACTTCCACAAGTGAAATACACGTGTGTAGATTTGGGGGAGGGCTAAAAGTTGCATGTTTAAAAAGTTAGGTAAACACTGGTTGGGATTCCCGCACCTAAAACGCGCGTGTGGCGCATTTCTAAACGCGCCAGAACTTACGAGAGCAAAGAATGTTGATATGGGCGAGAATCTCAAATCTAAGCACTGTTGAAATCGATAGACTTCAACAAGTGAAATACACGTGTGTAGATTTGGGGGAGGGCTTAAAGTAGCATCTTAAAAAAGTTAGGTAATCATTGGTTGGGATTCCCGCACCTAAAACGCGAGTGTGGCGGATCTCTAAACGCGCGAGAACTTACGAGAGAAAAGAATGTTGACATGGGCGAGAATCTCTCACCCAAACACTGTCAAAATCGATAGGCTTCCACAAATGAAATGCACGTGTGCAGATTTGGGGAGAGCTAAATTTGGCATCTTTAAAAAGTTAGGTAAGCAGTGGCTAGGGTTACCGCACCGAAAACGCGAGTGTGGCGCGTCTCCAAACGCGCCAGAACTTACAAGAGAAAAGAATGTTGATATGGGCGAGAATCTCCAACCTAAGCACTGTTCAAAATCGGTAGACTTCCACAAGTGAAATACGTTTGTGTAGATTTGGTGGAGAGCCAAAACTAGCATTTTTAAAGAGCCTAGTAAGCATAGTTTGGGATCCCCACACCAAAAACGCGAGTTTGCCGCATTACAAAACGCGCGAAAACACGCGAGTGAAAAAAAAGATATAAATGGGCGAAAATCTTTAACCCAGGCATTGTCCAAAGCGACAGACTTCCACAAGTGAAATACACGTGTGTAGGTTTGAGAAAGGGCCAAATCTAGCATCTTTAAAAAGTCCAGTAAGCTTAGTTCAAGATCACGACACCAAACCCGCGGGTGTGGTGCATCTCTAAACGCGCGGGAACTTACGAGAGAAAAGAAAGTTGATATAGACGAGAATTTCTTACCCAAGTACTGTCGAAATCAATAGACTTCCACAAGTAAAATACCCGTGTGAAGATTTGGGGGAGGGCTAAAAGTAGCATCTCTAAAAAGCTAGATAAGTATTGGTTGGAATCCTCGCACTTAAAACGCGAGTGTGGAGTACCTCTAAACGCGCGAGAACTTACGAGAGAAAAGAAAGTTGATAGGGGCGAGAATCGAATCTGTCACCCCAGGAGGGGACGCAAATGACTTCTACTGTAAGTATCTCTTTCCGGTGTTTTTTTTGTTTTTTTGTTTTGTTTTTTTTCAATTCTATGAAAACAGAGCTGTATTCCTCTAAGGCCTGGGTGTAATTCGTAAAAACAATGAGTTCTTATAAATCGTTTAGAAATTGTTCGCGCCAGTTGAAATTTATGTTGCTGGCACATGGGTGGGTACTTTATATGTAGACCGTGATGTAAGATACCTTAAACTATTTTTACTGTTTATGTT